TCCAAGGTCAGTCTCTACAGCAGCGACCTCTTCATGCTGTGACAACACACACCCAGGGTGTGTGTGTGTGTGTGTGTGGTCTCTCTCTCACAGACTACTATTCTCAATCACATGACCCTCTCTCCTCCACTGACATCCCATCGACCTGTTCTCATGGCAACCCCTTCACATTTTCCCATGACACCTGCCTGTTGTCCGCGGGACACGTGGTGACGTGACACAGAAGTGGGAACAAAGAGATTTGACACAGGATTCCAAATGGAACGCTGCAGCAGAGATCAGATCAGATCAGATCAGAACCCTGGACTCTACGCTCCAGGAAACCTGCTGGTCTTTGTTGAGCAGCACCGCGTCGGCATCGTCCCAAAAAATACTTCAGACAATTTTCAGAGGAAGAAAAAAAAGTGTGAAGTATCCATTTAGAGCTGACACAGAGTTTAAGAACAAGATTCTGCATTTAGTGGAATTAGACCTGGGAGAAAAAAAAAGTTGTTGTACACATCCAAGTACATAACCTGGGAGATTAGGACCACTTTTTTTTATATTTTGAGTGCAAAAAAAAAACAAAAAAACAACAAAAAACCCCCCAGGTATTGTGCAATAGTTTTAGGCAGATGTATATACTGTATTTCCTTCCTTTTGTTGCTTCTTTTTTTCAAGTATTGAAAGCAAATTCAGAGAAGTAGAAGATCAGGTTAAACAACATTTAACTGTTGATGGCAAACAAAACATCTGGGTCGGGGACCACCAGCAGGCCGTATCTCACCGGACCTGTTTGGACATGTACACCAATATATACTGTATACACCAGGCTAAAAATACACACTATACACAAACAACAAATGTACCTCTCACATTAAAGTACTGATGAGTAAAGTTTTGACGTAAATATAATTGATCAAAGGAAACACACGTGAAGGTGTTTGAGCTCACACTCACTTTGGGAGTTGGACAGGACGCCGTCGAGAGGCGGGACGTGGCCTGGGCGCGGGGCGACTCCGAGGGCGTGGTGCTGAGGGAGGCTGTGTCTCGGGGCAATACCTGTACACCCCGCGAGATTATGGAGTCTGGGATCTGAGGCCAGAGACAGAACCGCACGTGAAAAAAACACCGCACACGCACACACGGATCTCAACAGAGAAGAGGACGGCGCAAAGGAAACGTGTGTGTGTGTGTGTGTGAGTGTGTGTGTGGATCCAAAACTGAACGGTTGAAAAACTACAAAAAAGACAAACTGACAGATGACGTGGACAGTCTGTGGTGTCTTACCAACGACCAGCTGTGATTGGACAATGACATGGAGGTGTTCCAGGCTGCAGACAGGGCAGGGTGGGATGATGGACGTGATGTCACATGTAGGTAAACACACACACACACACACACACTGGGGTGATCCACAGGTAGGTGTGTACATGGATGACAACTCTAAACCCTTTAACTGTATTATTTTAACGTTTTTTTTTTTTTTTTACCTTTGTAGTTTTCCTTTGATTCTAGTCTCATCCTCAGCTATATTTTACTTTAACTTTTAGCCAGTTCTGTTGTTCAATAATTTTTTTTTTAACAGTTTCTAGCAAATTTCTTCACTCACTTTCAGTTGCATTTATTATATATATTTTTAATATAACTAAGAAGCGTCTAAAAAAACAAATATGTGGTGAAATGTTAAAGACACCAAGCTAAAATATCAGACTTCATTTCATTCATTTAAATGTGAAAACGTGTGTAACTGCCCCTTTAAGATGCAACTGTATAATGTATAAGTGTGACATTTAAAGATGAAGTTCCTGTACTTCACTCTCGTACTGTATGAAGTAGAAGAGGTAAAGATGAGAGTTTGAAATGGAGGGAATGNACCCCCACAGTGATACCTTGGCAGCGATGGATGCAGCAGTGATGTGGGAGGAGGAGCTGTCCTCGGTGGACGCCACGCCGCTGTCCTTCTTCTCTTCGTCTTCCTCCTCACATTGTACGCCCTTGTCCTCCGTCTGGCGGCGTGGCGAGCTGTTCGGTGGCGGCGAGAGGGGCGGCGGTGGTGACGGAAGGTCCTCCAGCTCGTCTACCACCTCCTTTACCTTCACCACCGCATCCCGCAGGAGGTCAATGGCGTGTGGCAGCGCAGGGAGGATGAACTGGAAGCACTCCTACGAGGGGGGGGGGGAGGAGGAGGAGGAGGAGCCTACGTTTTCAAATCAATAAATAAAATACATTTTATGACCCCTGTAGTACCTCGGTTGACCCCTATGGGTTGCAGCCCCCATGTTGAAAACCTAACAACAGTTTATCTTTCCTACCTGGGAGCCTTTCTTGCTTCCTGGTAAGTTGATGATGAGCGTCTTCCCTCTGATTCCACACACAGGTCTGTAAAACAAACAGGTGTCAAAGGTCAAGCTGAGATGAAGGACAGTCCTCAGCTCTGACCAATGACCAATGAGCTACAGACAAATACAACGATGGTCAATAAACAGTGGCTGTTCATAGATCTGAATACCGTGTTTATGACTTATATACTAAAATACAGTACATCATTTCACATGTTTGTTGTTTTCACACTGGCAGCCACTAGAGGTCACTCTGGGCCAGTATCTGCTACACCTGTACCACTGAAAAAGGTACATGTTGGTTATTTTCAGAAACATTTTTTTGGCTGGTGCGACGGTAAAAATCCTCACTGAAGTTTAGAAAACCACCAGATTCTATTTGTTATATTGTAATAAAGTGAATTAATTTGATTCAAAGCACGACATCATGTGAGACCGTATTCCTGACCTGGACAGCATTCCTAGTGGTGTGACGTTGAGGGATCCCATCAGCATCGCCAGCGACATCCCTGGAGCCTCCCGCTCTATCACCTCCTTAGTGGCCTGGAGGGAGGACACTAATTACTAGTTACTAATCAAGTGTGTCAAATGAAGGCGTCGTTTAGATGACCAATAGGGAGTTGACACCTCAGATGTTGAGCTGTGATTGGAGAAAAATAAGTCTCCAAGAAAAACTGCTGACTTCGTTAGAGCTGCGAGAATTACATTTTATGCAATAATGTTGGCAAAGACAATATTTTACACCCATATGTCAAAGGTCAGGTTAGACTTTTAGTTTTTTTTAACTTGACTTTACTGTGAACCTCACAGGTTATTTAGAGCAATATAAACCCCTAGAGGGCGCACAACCACCTAAGCCAAGTGTATTTGGCAGCAACAGAAGTTAAACCTTTGATTGTCTGTATGAACGACACTGAAGAAGCTGAAGGAAAAAAAATACAATCAAACAAAAAAAAAATTACAAAGACAAACATTAACAATCATTTATTTAAATTTGTGTGTCATCGCCGCTGATGGGTGTTTTATAGTTGTAGACGTTTGTGTAGAAATTTGTATTATTTTAGATAATATTAGAAACAAAGTGTGTTTGGCCTGGTTTCCACAGGTGGCGCTATTTACAGTTTGACTAAATGTGAAAGTTGTGTGTGTGAGAGTGTGTGTGTTTGTTGAGTGCCCTTGAAATGAGTGACACTTCAAAGACACCATCACTGAGGGAGAGGAGAGGAAAGACTTCAAAGCAGAGGAGACACTGATGAAGATCGTGGGTTTGGACTCAGGGGAGGAGGAAGGTAGGAAGACAGAATGAGAGTGGGGGAGATCAGGAAGGGGTGAGGGGGCCAGGGGGGGTGGGGGTGAGGTTGGATTTATGACATCGTTACACACGGTGCAGTCACTGATGAGGAAATACAGCTCTAAATTAGTCAGGATTCTACCGTTAACACCAGGGTGTAATGAGAGGGGGGCGGGGGGAGGACGAGGGGGGGGGCGGAGCTGTGAGTAACATATTATGATGACATCATTTCAGTCAGGAGAGACTCAGAGATGGGGCAGAGTTTCTTATTCTCCTGAGAAAATAATGATGAATAAAATACATAAATATTATTCAATGTTTTCAGGAGTGAAAGGAATGTCTTTAACTTTGAATTTCATCATAAAAAAAAACTGCCATGTGAATAAAACAACAAAACTTTTAAACATTCTTGGGCCTGGAATTAGCTATTTGAAAAAAAAATAAAATAAAAAAACTCAGTAGTCGATATAAAACATGAATTAGCCATTGACCCCAAAGGAAAATCACATTTGCAGGAACAGGAAATTAGGTTTTTTTTTTCTACTGGCAAACCATGAAAAAAAAATATTTTGAGACACAAATTGTAGAAGTCATCAAATCTGTCTGTGGGCCGTGACCTTTGGCCCCAGGGAAGGACCTTGGTCGATATCTTATTGCCAAAGTTTAATAAAAAAAAATGTTATGTAGCGTCGCGTCACTGGGTGAAATTCTCGACTTTATGTACACACACACACACACACACACACAGACAGAGGTGTATCCTGGTGCGGGGCAGTTCTGGAGGCACAGGGAGGCAGATATAGAGACATCAGTGTCTCCGGCTCACGGGCCTGGATCAGATAGCAGCCGTTATCAGTGACTGGAGTGTGTGCGTGTCTGCTGTGATGGATGAGCAGCAATGATACTGCTGAGAACCACGGCTCATCCCCCGCTAAATTGCTTGTATGCTTCAACATGTGTGTGTGTGTGTGTGTTTTGTTGTCACCCTCAAGCATGTCGTTGAAAGTGTAACAAATGCAGGTACAGACAACGGAGATGGTTCCATTCTTACGGCTGCAGTGTTGGGTTTTTACAGTGTAGTAAAGGCAGTATTTCCCTGCACTGAGGTGTGTGTTTGCATATTAACATAAAACATAAAGCCACCTTATATGGTGTGTGATAAAATGGCTCGTAGCTGATATGGTAATCAGCAACAACAAAAAACAAACAGACACAGATATTACTTCTTACAAAATCAGCCATGAAATCATTTCAAATTCGTTAAAATGCAGCACCAAACTATGACAGAGCCGATTCTGCACTGGTCCAGGTGGCACCAGTGACCGAAATCAGATCCCATTGGTTAGATTTTAGATAACCACGGTGACCATACCAGACTGTAATGACCAAACCAGCCACAGCATGTCAGAAAATAGGACCCCAACGCCGCCCCCCAGAGGACAGTTATGGACTAAACTGCTGGAAAACACGTGAATTCAAGGTAAATGACTGAATTTTAATTCATTAATAAAAGTGTATTATTTTTTTCTTTCTCCATTTTTGCTGTCCCTCTGGATGGACAGCGCCCCTAACATTTGTAGCGTAAAAAAATATCAGCAATGTCCATAAAGGAATATCTGAATGATTTGTGAATTGTGTGAAAAATGTGTTTGTTTTTAACGTGACATAAAATAAAGATTACATCTTTATTTCCCATCTGACCTCGGGACTAATTACGACACGTGTTAATCAGCGCTGCTGCGACACAGGTTTTTAATCAGCAGAAACAGGCAGAGGGAGCAGCAGGAGGCGCTGCACTTCTCTCGTCTCTAGCTGTCCTCACACCTCCGACTCCAGCAGAGGATCAACTCCCCTCACGTGACCTCGCTGTAAACACTCGGCGTCTCCGCTCCGTCCTCTTTGAACTTTATTCAATTTCAACTGAATTTTCAAATAAATATTTCAAACCTGTGGTGAAGGATCTGAAGGATCCGTTGGCCTTCCTGTGGAAACGACACACTTGTTTTTTACCTTGTCATATTGAAGTTCAAACTCACCTCTGGCGTGACGTCTCTCGGTGCAAATCCGGTGCCCCCGGTGGTTAGGATGAGGTTGAGTTCCTTTTCGTCGCACCAGTCCACCAGCGTCTCCTGTTGGTGTAACACCATCAAAACACACTCAGAATGACATTCATACTTTTACTAATTAGACAAACGTAGAAGTGAGGAGGGAACGAAACACGAACCTTGATTTCATCGATCTCATCCGGGACGATCTTATAGGCTGTGATCATACCCCCCAACCTGAGAAAATAAATAAATACAAAAGGTGATTGGATGTGAGGAACATTCATCCACACGAGTCAGAGAGGGAGACAAAAAACTCCCGTCAGGGAGGTCAATAGGAGGCGCCACTTCCTGTCACGTCGATGTTACCAACACAGGGTCAACGGTAGGACACGGGGTGGAGAGGTGTAGAAACACATCAAAGTGGGGGGCGGGGGGGGGGGGGACCTGTTTGTTTCTCAGGTTTAACCCCCCAACCTTTTTTGAACTGCGGCCCCTCGACAGTTAGTTGAAAAGCCCTGCAGTAGAAGAAGCCGTTCACGAGGACTCAACTCCTCTCAGATCCTGAAGAATTCCCCGACCAAAAGTAATAAATAAATAAATAATCCTAATCAGATCTTTAAATCACATCAACCAGGACAGTTCCTACTCTCAGAGTGGATTCATCCAAGCAAATAAAAAAAAACACAAAACAAAACTCCAGCTACGTGGGCTCCGACCGACCCTGGGACCATGAAGACCGCAGCAGCTGTTTCATCTGGTTTTATGAAAACAGAGGATTTTTTTTTTCTCAATTCAGTTTCTAAAAGACTTTACAAATGTATACTTTTCTTGCAGAGTTCTGGAACTTGTCCTTGTCGGTGTAAAAGTTCTGGGTTTAAACACCTTCACCTGAAGGACATTTCTACACCCAGGATGTCCTTTAAAAAAATAAATAAATAAACGTGTAACAAGGACAAGGATGCTGCTGAACAGAGTGCCATGGTGACCTCCTGTGGCTATTCTGAGAATGACACCACCACCAAAAACAACCTCAGGCTCAAGGTGAGTCTCTGAACACACCTGACGTAATCCCCTACTGTTGAAGGCTGCTATTTTTGGGAGCCTGCTTCCCTTTCTACGTCAGACACTTTAAATATCCTGCACCACTTATTATTATGAATTAATGTGAAGGCCATTTATTTCTGCCGTTCACACAGCGACACAGATGACAAAACACTACTAAAAATACTATTAACCTACGCAGGTTCATTGTCAAAAATAAATGTTTATATTTTCCTGTTAAATATATGTTGTAAAACGACAGAAACGTTTCCAATAGACAGAGAAAAAGGTTGAAATAGCAGCAGCTAAAAGCTGGGGCCAAATGCAGCTAATAACTACGCTAATTAACGACGTAAGCTAGGACTGATAAGAGCTCCTGAATCAGAACGAGCCAAACATCAGATCTACAAATAGACAAATTTCCGCTGAAAACACAGATAAATATAAAACAGAATGTAGCCTTCAAATAGCCAGTAACGCAGCTAATATAAAACAAAATGTATTTTAAAAAAATGTACAAAAAATCAGAGGAGAAATAGTTCGACAAGAGTTATTCAAATGTTAACCCAGCACTGGCTAAAAACTAAAAATGGCCAAAGTCGCTATCGTAGCCATACATATAGCAGGTGTTGCTAATGAAATATGCTACACTTAAACGTTAAATAAGTAATCTCAAATCAGACATAACGAAGGGAAGTCCTGACAACAGCTGCTGTAAGATTATTATGTTCAAAAGAAGTCCTGACAACAGCTGCTGTAAGATTAATATGTTCAAAAGAAAACCGCAAAACGTAAACCGCAAAAAGTAGCCAGAACAGGTTAGCTAAAGCTAGCCTAATTTAGCCAACAGTCTGATCACACGTGGACTGAGGATTACTGTACGTCTGTCTGTCAGTGGACGACCTGCGCAGAGTAAAGCAGCTGTCAGGAACCATCACCTGTCTCCCCCTACTGGAGGTTTTTTTTTTCTTTCCTTTTTTCACGCCTCTCTGTTTCAGTCCAAATGAAAATCTGCTCAACACAAAATAACTGAGGTTCCTTTTCGGCGTTTCCTAGGCAACCCTTCTGTCTGAGCCCAGAGTTGCCGTTGTTCACCGTGAGTGTGTGTCAGAGTTTTCTGTGCCAGCCAGGGTTTGCTTTTCTGTTCACTAGCTGTTGGGGATGCCATCTCTGTGTGAAACAAGCAACATGTTGTTGACTGAGCATTTTTGTGCGAGTGGAAAAAGCTGCAATATGTTAATGGGAAATCTCTGAGTCAGAGACGGAAACTCACTCTGTTACAGGGATGGGGTTTTTTTTTTTTTCCTTCAACAGAAGCGTTTGGATCATTAGCAGACGAACCTCATCAAATATCTTCTCCAGAAATTAATTCTAAATAAATATATTTGAAGATTATATTTAGTAGGATCTACCTGGAGAAGAGAATATATTTGTGACAATATATCAACACTTCATCCTCATCATCTTCATCATCATCATATTCCAACAAATATCCACAGATACTAAGCCACTAAGCCAGATACTAATCTTCTCCTCTCTCCTCATCCTCACAAACTACATTAAAACACTGATCATTTCACTCAGGTTCACACACAGTCCATGTCAGACAAAAGTACACAAAAAAAAACATCAAGAAAAAGTAAAACTCCCTTCAGTACACAGTAAAAGAAGTATTTCTGATTAAACGTAGAAGTTAATGAGCTAATGATGTCAGTTCAGGTGACCGCTAGGTAGCATGCTAATAGCTAACGTAGCATCTCTACAATACAGAATAAGAGTCGATCAACGATGACGGAAAACTGGGAGGGGGAAGAAAAAAGTTGCATTGACACTGAAAAAAATGGGAAAATTTGATTTGACTAAAAATTAAAAAAATAAATAAAAAGAGTGATTGGTTGCTACTGGGGGGCGGGGTCCTCACACAGGTCACATCTTACCAGACTTACAGCCAATTCATTATGCTACCGTTTCCATCTAATGGTGACTGGTGCAGATTGTACCCAGCAAAGAATCATGGGTAAAATGAGCCATAAATCCTGGAGTGTATCCTCCGCTTTAGAGTCAGACCAAAGAGAAGGAGAGTAGTACTGCAAATACTGAGGAGTATTATCATTAATACACAGTACGGTCTGGAAGTTTTTACCCTTGAAGTCCTAACGTGGGGCCATGAGTGTTGGGAGATGAAGGAGGTGAAGAGAGAGGGAGGGAAACGGAGCTTTGGTTTTGGCCTGAAAAGCCTGTACACCTCGGCCGAAACGTTCTATAAATAAAAGACAAGAAGAGCAAAGAGGATGAGGGGAGGAAGAGGGAGAGTGGGGGAGGCAGAGAGGAAGAGTGTGAGCCAGCCCCAGATCTCTGTGGTCGTGGGACACCAGTCTTTTCATTAATAATACACGCTCTTCGTACACGGGAGCCACTACAGCTGAGTTGTCAGTGTGTCCATATGAAGGAGAAGCTCTCCTGGGGCGGACTCTCAGCATGTTGGCTGATGGAAAAGATGAAGCTCCCACAGCACTTGGCTGTGATGAGAGCTGTTAGCGTTCAGTGAGGGGGGGGGGGTTCGATTCCCATGGTTCCACTCACCGCCGCCTAACAACACGCACAAAAAAAAACAAAAAAAAAAACCAAGGCGTGAATCTTGGGAATCTTTAAATGAGGACGAAAACAGACAGAAAAACAAACAAACAAAAAAAGACTGAAATAAAAAGTCAAGGGAAGAGAAGAATGACATGAAATCAATGTGTCGTGAACGCAGAAAATTTACATTTACATTTAGCAATCAAACCCAGAACTCTGAGCCGTGCTAACCGCTACGCTGTGTAACCACCAGCACAAATAACAAGATCAATGAAATATGGGTTAAAACGCTAAAAATATTATTTAAAAAAAAGGTTTAATAAGTGAATTTTCACTTCACCTGATGCTGCTGATTGACAAAAGTGATCAGAATATTGATTGAACCAACGTGTGTGTGTGTGTGTGTGTGAGATGTTATGATTATGATGATCACGTTCTTGTGTGTCCTGCTGTAACCTCACAGAGCTCCCTCTCTCTCCCTCTCTCTCTCCCTCTCTCTCTCGTTCTCCCTTGCGCTCCCTCCGTTTACGTCATGGAATCTGTGGCACAATGAGGCCGCGGCGTTCCGGCTGGTCAACCTGATGAAGCCCGCACGCCTGTGCTGTGGGTTTCCAGAGCGTGGAGAATTCTCAGGGGCAGACGAGGTCAGTTAGAGCTGCGTTACACAGACACAGAGACGCTAATGCTAACGCTAACGCTGCAGCTGCTGCTTCTAGCGGCCCCATCAGTTCACCCACAGTAGTACAGTAATCATCCCATTATTTTAAAGAGTTATTATTGGAGGAGACCCAGCTGAACCACACACCCAAAACCTGTCGACCTAAACAGTCAGACCGACTGTTAGCTTCTCGTCACTTTTATCATCTCCTTATTCAACACCTCAGTGGCACAAATGATCATTTCATCTCCAGTTTTTCAACGACACAGAAACACACAAGGACGAATCTCAAGAATATGTCGATATGCAGTTAAGTAAACCAAAAAAAAAATCCAAATATTAGGGCAAAAAGAAGCTAAAAACAAAAATACTAAATAAATAATTTTGTAAAAAACATCCAGAAAAATAAATCAGCATAAAGCAGCAAAAATACTGGGAGGCAATTAAAACAAAATACACTCCATGTTTGACAAAAGTTACACAAAAAAATTAAAGTAAACTCTATTCAGTATACACTAAAAAAAGTATTTCATTTCTGATCAAACACTGTTCTATGTATTGACAAACACAGCGTCGGTCACTGAGGTCAACTTCCTCCAACAGTCATGTAAAAACTGATTTTTTTTTTTTTTTTTACTAGTGCAGTTCCGTCACCACCACCAGGTGAAGAACTTCAGAGCAGCAGCTGGTTATAAAGTGGTGAAAACACACAGAGCAGGATCACAAACATCAAGTCCCAGCTGGATTTCCTCCACAGATCTACAGCATCTAGACTGTACAGACGTGACACACACACACACACACACACACACACATCAGCCTAAAAATAAACACAGTACATACATGACAGACAGGGATCTGTCCACGGACTCCCTCAGCGGGGGTGTCGTGGGGGGGTGACACTTCACTGATATTGACTGGTGTAACACAGTGACGGGAGCGGAGGAGCCGCAGCGAATCGATGGAGTGTAAAGATGTCTACAGAGGCGTGTCTGAGCGCTCCACGTCTGAGAGCGCGGCTGTTTCAGTCGCAGTATAAAATACTGCATTCACAGGAGCCAGTACACAGAAAAAACCCAACATATTCACTTATGTATTTTTAAAGGTGAAACTCTCACACTCAAGTGTTAGCTATCTCTAGGCTAACCTTTAGCAATCCTTAGGCTAAGCTGCAGAAACAAAATAGATTCAGCAAAAGTTGCAGTCATTGTTTAAATGTTTTTTTTTTGTAAACTTTATTTTTATCTCCTTGATTTTATTTGAAGAATCAAAAAGATTCCTCACTGCCACCAACTGTTCAAACACAGGAGTGCAGCAGCAGCTCCTTTGTTGTTGCTGTGCATGCTGGGAGTTTCCCTCCGTAGGGCGACACTGAGCCCCGGTGTGATATTTTTAGTTTCTTACTTCCATTTAAGACACTTTTAAAACAAGAAGATGAGGAAAACAAATAATAATAAAAAAAACAGAAATCTAGTTAAAAACAGAAAGAACTCCTCCATGAAGTTTTTAAAAAATGAAAACTAGAATGAACTTCTCACATACAGAAAGAACTCCTCCATGAAGTTTTTAAAAAATGAAAACTAGAATGAACTTAAAGTCAACCAAAGAAGAGCTGAATGTCATCAGCTAAGAGGTTGACATCACAAAAACAGCTAAAAGCTAGGTTCCTCAGTCAGACCTGAAGCTGAGCTGATTCAAATCATAAGAACAGAAAATGATTGACTGAAAATTAACATATATATTATTAAAACGTGTTGACCTTTGAAGATTGTTGTGGTTTTTTTTTATGTTTTCTCTGTGACCTAGCACCCAATGACCCGCAGCCTGGTGCAGGGCCGGGTCCGCGGTCCAGTGGTTGAGCGTCGGTGATACTCACAGGGAGGGATCGTGTACGAGATCTTTCAGGTTGACGCCACTGCGGTCTTCTGCAAGATTCCGAAAACAGCTGTCGCTCACTAGACAGGAGCAGAGAGACGGGAGAAGGAGAGAAAACACAGATTTACACACCAGAAATCTAAAAATACAAATACAGCAGGGCATTCAACACCCGCTCTTATTTTTGGCATGACAGATATTTTTCAAAGCAAACGGCAGAAAAAACTGAAATCCTATGACTGCCAAAGAATGTTTACACACACAGTTTGCCAGTTTTTTTTTTTTAAAAAAATAAGAAGCCCAGACTGACGTTCTCGAACCTGTGTTATATTTAGTGATAAATGTGATAAGTCAGGTCGTAAGAACAGGTTGATTTTGTTTGAACAAAAAAAAAAATTGTCGGCTGCTTTGACAAAATGTTTGACTTCATTCCCAACAGTCTGATCCACATTTGAAGAACTGACTGTTAAAGGAAAACAAAGACGGAGCAGTCGCTGTTTCTGTGGAAGAATGGAGAGAAAGAAGAAAGAAAAAAAAAGAAAAAGACAGTAAAAAAAAGAGATTAAACAAGAGGTGTTGTTGACTGTGTAGAGAAAAAAGAAAGAGAGGAAGGATAAACAAGAGGTGAGAAGAGGAAGAAAAAAGAGAAATAATGAAGAGAAAAAGATGGACTGAAGAAGGAAGAGATGATGATGATGATGATGATGATGATGATGATGATGATGATGATGATGATGATGATGATGATGATGAAGTCATGGTTGACTTCCTGATTCATTAGAAAAAGTCAAAGTTGAGGCCGTGGTTGTTGACAGGAGTGGAAATGTCAGGGAGTTTCTCCACCGATGAGAGGAAGGAAGGAAGGAAGGAAGGAGGAGATGAAGAGATGGGTGAAGCTAGAATGGTGTAAAAAAACTGAAGTGGTGGAGGAAAACATAAGATTGAGGTCGGAGAAGGGGTTGAAAAAGGGTGAAGGAAAGTTAGAGGGAAGACTGAGGGGGAGAGAGGAGGGAGGGGGGGAGGTAATGGAAACAGGGAAGGATAAAGACTGAGAGGAAGAAGAAACAGAAGAGAGAGGAATGGGAGGGATGGAGGAAGGAGAGGAATGGGAGGAAATACAGCAGGGTGAGAGGAGAGGAGAGGAGTAAGTGAGGATGATGTGGAAGGAGGGATGAAACAGAAATGAAGGAGGAAAAAAGAGGAAGAAAGAAAGGGAAAAGTGGAGAGTAGAAAGATCAGGAGAAAAAAGACAACGAGGAAAGGATGAAGGTAGAGAGATGACGGAGAGAGAGAGAAAGAGAGAGAGTGCTGACATTTACACTGAGGAGAGGGAGAAACAAGAGGGCTGTAAAGAGGAGGAGGAGGAGGAGGAGGAGGAGAGGAAGCACATGGATCACACACACCACCCTGGATTTAGAGGGGCACTGCTGCAGGAGAGTGTGTGTGTGTGTGTGTGTGTGTGTGTGTGTGTGTGGAGGGAACTTCCTTTAAGACTGCAGTATTCCATACAAACACACACAGCCTTCCCCTCTCTCTCTCTCTCTCTTTCTCTCTCTTTCTCCCTCTCTCTCTCCCTCCCCCTCTCTCTCTCTCTCCCCCTCTCTCTCCCCCTCTCTCTCTCCCAGCTCCCCCTTGATCTAAAAATAGCCGCCCCACTCTCCTACAAGAGGCAGCAACCATTGTGAACCAATCAACACGCTCTGTCAAAGGCATCGGTACCAGGCGGCCACATGTGTGTGTGTGTGTGTGTGTGTGCACATATGTGCAACAAGGGGGAACTCCTGAGTGTAGGTAATAAAGCTGCACCT